CTGATACCAAAGCCAGACAATGACAACACAAGAAAAGAAAAAGACCAATGATGAATACTGACCTGATGAATACTGATGAGACCTGATGAATACTGATGCAAACATCTTAAAGTATTAGCAAACTGAATTCAAGAGCACATTAAAAGTTTTATGCATTTTGAACAAGTAGATTTATTGCTGCAATGCAAGGATGGTTCAACAGATGAAAATCCAATCAAATACACTGCATTAGCAGAATGAGGGTCACACATGGATCCCATCAGTTGATGCCGAAAAAGAATTTGACAAAATTCTTTTTGATTAAAAAATAAACCCACCACCCCCCCTAGGAATTGAAGGAAGCTACCTCAATATAATAAAGACCACATATGAAAATCTTACAGCTACCATACTCAATGGAGAAGGACTGAAAGCATTTCCTAACATCAGGAACAAGACAAGGATGCAGCTTTTACTACTGCTATTCAACATAGTGTTGGAAGTTCGAGGCAGAGTATTTAGTCAAGAAAAAGATTGAAATTAGGAAGAAGTAAAATTATATCTGCAGAATACATGATCCTATATGTAGAAAACACTAATGTTCCCTGCACCCCCAAATCTGTTAGAACTTAGATCAGCAAAGTTGAAGTATACAGAAGCAACATACAAAATCAGTTGCCTTTCTGTACACTAACATGAACAACCCAAAACAGAAATTAGGATAACTCCCCTTACAGTAGCATCAAAAACAATGATATACATAGGAATTAACAATGAAGGTGAAAGACTTGTACACTGAAAACCACAAAACATTGCTGAATGATGTTAAAGATGACACATAAATGGAAAGACATCACATGTTCATAGATTGGAAGACAATACTGGTATGATGTCAGGTGATCTACAGATTCAATGTAATCCACTTCAAAATCTCAATGACATTTTTTTACAGAAAATAGAAAAATAAGCAGAATATCTAGGATCCCCAAATAGCCAAAACAATCTTGAAAAAGATTAAAGATGGAAGGCTCACACTTCCTGATTTCAAATTTTACTGCAAAGCTACAATAATCAACAGTGTGGTATTGAATAAAAACAGACATATAGACTAGTGGAGTAGAATAAAGAATCCAGAAATCCTCACATATATAGTCAAATGATTTGGGGGAAGTGCACCAAGACCATTTAGTGGGAAAGGACAGTGTTTCCAACAAATGGTGTTGGGAAAATAGGATATCCACATGCAAAAGAATGAAGTTGGCTTTTTATCTAACACCATATAGAAAAATTAATTCAAATGGATCAAAGACCTAAACCTAAGACTTAAAACTCCACTCTTATAAGAAAACAGGGGAAAAGTTTCAGGACATTGGATTTGGCAGTGATTTCTTGGATATGACACCAAAGTCATAGGCATCAGAAGAAAAAACAAACTGGGCTTCATCAAAAATTAAACATTTATGTATCAAAGGACACTATCAATGGAGTGAAAAAAGCAATCCACAGAATGGGAGAAAATATTTGCAAATCACATATCTGATGAGGGATTAATATCCATTAATATATAAAAAACTCCTAAAATGCAACAACAGCAACAAAAGACAACCCAAATCAAAACTGGGCAAAGGACTTCAATAGTCAGGTATCCAAAGAAGATACAGTATGGCTAATAAGCACGTGAAAAAATGCTCAACATCACTAACCATTTGGGAAATGCAAATCAAAACCATGATGAAATATGACTTCATACCCATTAGGGTGGCTATTATTGGGGAAAAAAAAAGTGTTAGCCAGGATGTGGAGAAACTGGAACTTCTGTTCATTGCTGCTAGGAATATAAAGTGGTTTAGCTGCTGTAGAAAACAGTATGGCAGTTCCTCAAAAAATTAAATAACAGAATCAGCATTTGATTCAGCAATTCCACTTCTGGGTATTTATACAAAAGAACAGAAAACAGGGGCTTGAACAGATACTTGCACATGTATGTTCATGGAAGCATTATCTCAATAGCCAAAAGGTGAAATGACTCATGTTCATTGATTAATGAATGAATAAGCAAAATGTGGTAGATACATACAGTGGAATATTATTCAGTCATATAAAGGAATGAAATTTGGATACATACTATAGTGCTGATGACCCCTGCAGACATGGTAAGTGAAATAAGCCACACACAAAAGGACAAATACATGATTCTACTTACATAAAGTATTGAGAATATTCAAACACTTAAAGTAGAATGTTGGCTACCAGGGTGTTGAGTGGAGGAATGGGGAGTTATTGTTTAATGGGTACAGTGTTCAGTATGGAATGGTGAGAAAGTTCTGGAGATGGATGGTGGTGATGGTTGCACCAGTGTGAATATACTTAATGCCACTGAATTGTATATGTAAAAATGGTACATCTTTGTATGTTTTTCTACCGTAAAAACTTTTTTAAACCACCAAAAGTCATATAACCTAGCTATTTAAAAAAAAAAAAGGTTATCAAGCCACAAGACACAGAGGAAGTTTAATTTGTATATGGCTAAGTGAAAGAAGACAGTCTGAAAAGGTTACATACTGTATGACTCCAACTATATGACATTCTGGAAAACTATAGAGCTAGTAAAGGGATTAGTGGTTATCGCTGTGAGATTGGGAAGGCTGAGTAGATGGAGCACAGGAGATTTTTAGGGTAGTGAAGTTATTCAACATGATACTGTAGTGGTGGACACATAAGATGATGCATTTGTCAAAATCCATAAAACTATAACAAAAAGAGGAGCCTTAATGTAAACTATAGACTTTCGTTAACGTTTCATTTGTTTCATTTAATTTATAATTGTTTCATTTATATTAGCAAATGTAGCACACTAGTACATTTTACATAGATGTTTAATAGTAGGGAAAACTGTGGGAGAGGGAAGTATATGGGAACTCTCTGCAGTCTTCTCAATCATTCTATAAATCTGTAACTTTTAAAAAAATAGTCTGTTAAAAAATTCTATGAGGGTTTTTCGTTTTGTATACTCTAGTGCCTCAAGTTCATAAGTATTAGTTGTAAGTGAATGATGGGTAAATGAATGAATGAATGAATGAATCAGTGGCACTAGTGACAGATTCAATTCACAGTGCTCACACTGGGCTAGACTGTTGGGAAAAGTCAGTGTGTACCGACTGAAGGATTAATAAGCAGAATATTGGAAGAACTCCTAAAATGCAACAACAGCAACAAGAGAAAACCTAGTTCAAAATAAGCAAAGGACTTGAATAGGCAGGTATCCAAAGAAGATATACAGATGACCAATAAGCACATGAAAAGATGCTAAACATCACTAATTAGGGAAATGCAAATCAAAACCACAATGAGCTACCACTTCACACCTATTAGGATGGCTATTAAAACAAACAAAAACAAGTGTTGGCAAGGATGTGGAGAACTGGCTTGAAGGGGAAGTTGTTCACAGGTGGGCTGTTCATTTGGCCAGAACTTGCTCCTCTGCCTCAGCTATTTACTAGCCCTAGACCTGTGGTGTTCAGAACTCCCACTGCTCCAAGCTACTCCGCAACTCTTCATATGTCCTGAAAGTTGCCATTCGTTTTTTTCTATTATATTTCAGGGTGACTACACAGTTGGAAAAACTGAAGAAACTGTTCTGGCCTAATGAATTCTTTACTTTGCTCCCAATAAGATGAAAACCTCACATTCTGCAAAATCATGCCCTAAAATTAAAATAAGTTTGGAATTTTGTAACCTGAGCAGTAACAAAACTAGAATCCTAAATTTCCACTAGTATCCACTGAGAATTAGTCCATCTTCTGTATCTTAAACTTTTGGGCTTGTGTTTCTTTCAGACATAGATCCTTGAAATCAATTGCTTCTCATAGAGAAACAGTTTTCATCAATATTAAAAATATGATCTAAAGGTAGCTGCCAATGATAGGGATAGAGCAGGATAGTTAACACAGGTAGTTTTAGAAGTCCCACTAGGGGATTATAGACACAAAGGGAACTTTGGGAGACCATTGTAAGCTAATGAACACTCAAGAAAGCAATCAGAACACTGTGAAACAAAACAGGTCTGCTTAACAATGAAACCATGCAATAAAAGCAGGAGATATGCCCCAGGCCATTAAGTGAAAAAACAAGGCCTGCAGCCTGCTGGTCAAGGTCAGCAAGATAATGATCCTTAGGACATGCACCTGAGCATGTACCAAGGACAGGAATACAGGGGAAAGGTGGCATTCCAAAGTATAAGACCCTCATACTGAAACCTGAGATGATTTAACATATTTTACTCTATGTTACCACCCTTCTGCTGATTTGAATAGCACCATGACAGTCCCCGTTTGACCAAATAGGGTCAAAAACTCCTCTGCCCCACCCAAAGGAGGAGCTAGTGATGTAAGCGTGATGTCTACTCAGAATGTGGAAGAAGGTGGTCTTCTCCCACTTCCCACTTTTCCTTTGATTATAAAAACGTAGCCCACTTAGTTCCTGGGGCAGAGGTCTCTTGTCTGCCCACTTGTATCCTTTACAAGCATCCTATACTAATAAATCCACTTCTTACCTCCCACTTTGTCCCTCACCGAATTCCTTCTGCACCGAAACATAAGAACCTGTGAGTCATTAAGTCCTGAGACAAGTTGTGTGGTTTCACCTTCATCAATCAATGCTTTTTTTCTAATCACGGGGTGAAATGTCTTCATGCCTTACCTGTACTTGCAACTTCCCGGGACAGCTTAACACAGTGAAAGCCACTAAAGCCACTCCTTGCCCTTAATTAGGATTTTCATCTTTTCTCTTAGGGTCTTGGTATATTGCTAAAAGTTTCTCATTAGCTGTGAGAAAGTTTGCCTCTGGATGCTTCAACACATTAGCTTACTGGTAAAAATCATGTTTGACCAATGCAACTTTCACATAGGATTGATATTACTCCCCTATTTACCTACTGCAAATGAGCTAATAATACACCTGACAGAAACACACATACCTTGCAATAGGACAGACTGTGTTTCAGGGTATGATAACTTTCAGTCTTTTATTTAGAGAACAAAGAAGGATTAATGTTTAATTTCTTTTACCTTTTGGTGTTACATTTTCTGCCTTTGTAACAAAAAAGCAGTGATTTGGGTTCACTGTGATATTTCTTCAATGTTCTCCATGACCTATAGAAAATAAGAATTAAGATGTTTTCTCCATCTCAATTTTTCTTTATATGCACACCTTCCAACACATCTTTATTTTATTCACACATATACATCCACCCCTTCTGTTTGTGATATGAAGAATTGAGGTGAACTAGCCTAGAACATCCAAATAAGCCACACAACGCTCCTCAGAACACAGAACCTCCATTCAGCACCTCCATTCAGATCTCACAGAGGAAAGTGTCCCTGCCTTTCCTCACTGCCTGTTTTCTGTTACTTGAAGTTCTAACAAGCCTGGTGATTTTTTTTTTTTTTTTGCAGCACACGGGCCTCTCACTGTTGTGGCCTCTCCCGTTATGGAGTACGGGCTCCGGACACGCAGGCCCAGTGGCCATGGCTCACGGGCCCAGCCACTCTGCAACATGTGGGATCTTCCCAGACTGGGGCACGAACCCGTGTCCCCTGCATCGGCAGGCAGACTCAACCACTGCACCACCAGGGAAGCCCCATTGGTGAATTTTTTAAAAGATATTACAAATGATAAAGAAAGTAAGGGGAAAAGATTGCTAGAGTGAGTCATTCTAATGGCAATAAAAATTAATAACTGATGGCAAGAAAACAGAAGAAAGTAGCAAAAACAAAACAAAAATCAGGACTAAAAACCAAACCAAACCGAAACAAAAAAACCCTGTGGCTAGCTAGGACTATTTAATGTAGGGACAATTCCCTCCATAACCGATGAGCCCTAAGTCTGTAAACCATATCTGTGGAAGCATAAGTGCAGTACAAAAAACTTAGACTTGGGGTTTAAATCCTTGTTCTACCACCTGATGTGTGATCTTGATGTTAACCTCTCTAAGCCTCAGTTTTCTCTTTTGTAGAGTGAGAATAATACCACCTGCCTCACAATGGGTGTTAGGACTTAAAAGAGTTCTCCTCTGATATGAGATATCAACCACAGTGCCTGGCACCTACAGACACCTGATGTTCATGATTACATATTACACTGCTTTCTTTTCATTTGAAGAGCTGTACTTTCAGAACTAGTGCATTATTGCAATAGGGATACATAATCACAATCTAAATGTATGCTAGGACTTTAGGCTGTAGGTTTACTTAATGAACGAATTGAAAAGATTGCCTAGGGAGGTTTATATTCCAGAGGCACACAGGGTGACACGAACAAACCTATCAGAAGGGACTGATAAAATGAATAAAGCTTTATGGTGTGGTGGCAAGAGGAGTTTCCTGGTGAAAGCAGGTCATTAATAAAATTTAAAATAGAATGTACCATCATGCTGTGATTTTCATAACAAATACGAGCTAATAGCATTAAGCAATTCCCAGCCCGCATGATCAACTTTATTTTCATGACACAGATCTTGTCACATGTGGTAAAAGGCATTTCTTTTTGCTTTTCTTAAAGTAATGGCCTTGCAGTTACTGATAGACTGTTTGACCTTGAAAAAACTAAGTGGTCAGTCAGCTAATTTTGTGAGCTATGCCCAATACCTTATCTAGATTTTTACCCTTTGTTGTGACATTTTTTGCCTCCATTAAAAGAAAGCAGCAAATTAATACTTGAGTGCCAAAACTCTTTTCTCAATGAAACCAGAGAACCTCTGTGTGGAAAGGCTCCAAGGTAGCTTCTATTTTATTACAAACATGTCTTTATAAACAGGAAGAGGTTGACTTGTTTTTTACGTGTGTACATTTTCTAAAAAATAATTGAGTTTTTACCATCCCATTGAACGTTCTGAAAAAAATTAAGAGGCAAGCCTTTTGAAGAGAGATGTTACTGGTGAATTACAAACACGAATCCTTGTGCATTCAAGCATTACTGGCAGTCAACCATTCCTACATTTTTTCTTGTCAGACTTAGCCTTATTTGTGTTAATCTTCCCAGTTAAAACCATGCTCAATAATAAGTTTTCAGTTCTCTGAGAATTTCTTCACTGGTTACTTTACCATCAGGCATTTTACAAATGAATGTAGTTCCAGACAATATCATTACAAATTTAGCAAAAATCAACAAGCTCACCAAACCATTAAAATACATGATTTCACTCAATTACAAAGTAGAGGAACACATCTCAATCTCTTGATAACTCAAAAGTTAATTCTGAGCATATTAAAATGAATCATGTGACAGTATCATTTAATAACAGCATCTCTTTCTGGCTTTTTACTGTGAAATATACATATAAGATTTACCATTTTAACCATTTTTAACTGTACAGTTCAGTTCCACACTGTTGTACAATCATCACCGCCATGCATCTCCAAAACTTTTTCATAATCCCACACTGAAACTCTGTAGTCATTAAATCACTCCCCATTCTCCTATTCTTAGCCCCTGGTAACAACCATTTTACTTTCTGTCTCTATGAATTTGATTACTCTAGATACTTCAAATAAGTGAAATCATGTAATACTTACCTTTTGTGTTTGGATTATTTCACTTAGCATACTGTCTTAAAAGTTCATCCATGTTGTAGCATGAATCAGAATTTGATTCCTTTTTAAGGCTAAATAATATTCCATTGTATTTATGTACCACTTTGGGTTTATCAATTCATTCCTTTTTAAAAAAATGTTTTATTTAAGTATAGTTGATTTACAATGTTGTGTTAATTTCTGCTGTACAGCAAAGTGATTCCATTATACATATATATACAATCTTTTTAAAAATATTCTTTTCCATTATGGTTCATCACAGGATATTGAATATAGTTCCCTATGCTATACAGCAGGACCTTGTTATCTATTCTATATATAACAGGTTGCATCTCCTAACCCCAAACTCCCACTCCATCACTCCCCCACCCCCAACCCCGATAACCACAATTCTGTTCTCTATGTCTCTGAGTCTGTTTCTGTTTCATAGATAAGTTTATTTGTGTTATATTTTAGATTCCTCATATAAGTGATATCACATGGTATTTGTCTTTCTACTTACTTCGCTTAGTATGATAATCTCTAGATCCATCCATGTTGCTGCAAACAGCATTATTTCATTCTTTTATCATGGCTGAGTAGTATTCCATTGTATATATGTACCACATCTTCTTTACCCATTCATATGTCAGTGGATATTTAGGTTGTTTCCATGTCTTGGCTATTGTGAATAGTGCTGCTGTGAACATAGGGGTGCGTGTATCTTTGAATTATAGTTTTATCTGAATATATGCCCAGGAGTGGGATTGCTGGATTATATGGCAACTCCGGTTTTAGCTTTTTGAGGAACCTCTGTTTTCCATAGTGGCTGCACCAGTTTACATTCCCACCAACAGTGTAGGAGGGTTTGCTTTTCTCCACACCCTCTCCACCATTTGTTATTTGTAGACTTTTTAATGATGGCCAGTCTGACCAGTATGAGGTGATACCTCATTGCAGTTTTGATTTGCATTTCTCTAATAATTAGAGTCATTGAGCATCTTTTCATGTACTTGTTGGCCATCTGTATGCCTTCTTTGGAGAAATGTCTGTTTAGTTCTTCTGCCTATTTTTTGATTGGGCTGTTTGGTTTTTTGTCAAGTTGTATGAGCTGTTTGTATATTTTGGAGATTAAGCCCTTGTTGGTTGCATCATTTGCAAATATTTCTCCCATTCCGTGGGTTGTCTCTTTGTTCTGTTTATGGTTTCCTTTGCTATGCAAAAGCTTATAAGTTTGATTAGGTCCCATTTGTTTATTTTTGCTTTTATTTCTATTGCTTTAGGAGACTGACCTAAGAAAACCTTGGTACAATTTATGTCAGAGAATGTTTTGCCTATGTTCTCTTCTAAGAGTTTTATGATGCCATGTCCTATGTTTAAGTCTTTAAGCCATTTAGAGTTTATTTTTGTGTATGGTATTAAGGTGTGTTCTAACTTCATTGATTTACATGCAGCTGTCCAGTCAATTCATTCCTTGATGGACATTTGGGTGGTTTCCATCTTTTGGCTATTGCGAATAATGTTTCTATGAACAGTGGTGTACAAATAACTATTTGAGCTCCTGGCTTGGATTCTCTTATGTATATACCCTGAAGTGGAATTGCTGGATCATATAGTGATTCTACGTTTAATTTTTTTGCAGTCACTTCCCATTCCAAACTCAACCTAGGCAACCACTTGCATAGTATCTTCAAGGCTCATCCATGTTATAGCATTAACCTTAATATAAATGCAAGCATGCAATTTGTGGTCTTTTGTGGCTGGTATCACTTAGCATAAAGATTTATCCATGTTACGGAGTGTATCAATACTTTGTCCCTTTTTATGGCTGAATAGTATTCCATTTTATGAACATACCATATCTAGTTGATGAATATTTAGATTATTTCCACTTTGGGTTTATTATGAATATTGCCACTATGGACATTCAAGTCTTTGTGTAGACATATGTTTTCATTTATTGTGGGTTGTTATCTAGGGATGGGATTGCTGGATATTAAGATAAATTTATGTTTAACTCTTTAAGAAACTGCTAAACTGTTTTCCACAGTAGCTATACTATTTATTTCTTCTTTTCTTTTTTCTTTTTTTTAAATTGAAATATAGTTGATGTACAATATTATGTTAGTTTCAGGTGTCCTACATAATGATTTGACATCTGCATACATTATGAAATAATGATAAGTCTAGTAATCATCTGTCCCATACAAAGTTATTATAATATTATTGATCATATTCTTTATGCTGTATGTTACATCCCCATGACTTATTTATTATATAACTGGAGGTTTGTACCTCTTAATGCCCTTCACCTATTTTGTCCACCATCCCTCCTTTCTGGCAACCACCCATTTGTTCTCTGCCTCTATGAGTCTGTTTTTATAGATTCTTCCTTTTGTCATTTTTATATTTCTAGCTGTGGTTTCTTCTTTTCTGCTTATATAAATCCCTTTAACATTTCTTGTAAAGCCAGTTTTACTGGTGCTGAAATCTCAGCTTTGGCTTGTCTGAAAAACTCTTTATCTCTCCTTCCTGGGTAGAGTATTCTTGGTTGTAGGTTTTTTCCTTTCCTCACACTGAACATACTGTGCTGTTCCCTTCTGACCTGCAAAGTTTCTGCTGAGAAGTCAGCTGACAGTGTTATGAGTTCCTTTGTACATCACTAGTTGTTTTTCCCTCACTGCTTTTAAGATTCTCTCTTAACCTTTAATTTTTTGCCATTTTTAATTACAATGTGTCTTGGTGTGGACCTCTTTGGGATCATCTTGTTTGGGACTCTCTGCGCTTCCTGGACCTGGATGTGTTTCCTTTCCTAGGTTAGGGAAGTTTTCAAATATTATTTCTTCAAATAAATTCTCTGCCCCTTTCTCTCTCTTCTCAATTTCTGAGACCTCTATAATGTGAATGTTAGTACTGTTGATGTTGTCCCAAAGGTCTCAAACTATCCTGATTTAAAAATCTTTTCTTATTTTTTCTGTTCAGCTTGGGTGATTTCCACTACTCAATTTTACTTTTTTACATATACATGTAACAAATATACATGTTAACAAATTCCCAGTATACAATATAGTATTATTAACTACAGTCATAATGTTGTACTTTAGATTTCTTCATTTATTCATCCCTACATAACCTCAACTTTGCAACCTTTTGACCAGTGTCTCCCCACTTCTCCCACTTCCTTACCCCCATAACCACCCTTCTTCTACTCTCTGCTTCTGTGTAACTTTTTGTAGGTAAAACATATGTGGGACTTCCCTGGTGGTCCAGTGGTTAGGACTCTGCACTTGCACTGCAGTGGGGGTGGGTCCAATCCCTGGTCAGGGAACTAAGATGCTGCATGCCAGGCAGTGTGGCCAAAAAAAAAGATAACAAAAACATATAAATGAGGTCATGAAGTATTTTTCTTTCTTTGTCTGGCTTATTTCACCTAGCATACTGTCCTGCAGGTCCGTTCATGTTGTTGCAAATGGCAGGATCTCCTTTTTAAAGGCTGAGTAATATCTAGTTGTATATACCACCATTTCTTTATCCGTTCATCCACTGATGGACACAGGTTGTTTTCATATCTTGGCTATTGTAAATAATGCTACAATAAACATGGGAGCACAGCTATCTGTTTGAGGTACTGATTTCATTTCCTTTGGGTATATACCCAGAAGAGGGATTGCTGGATTATATGGTAGTCCTATTTTTAATTTTTTGAGGAACCTCCATAACATTTTCTTTTTTTCTTTTTTTTGCGGTGTGTGAGCCCCTCACTGTTGTGGCCTCTCCCGTTGCCGAGCACAGGCTCTGGACGTGCAGGCTCAGCAGCCACGGCTCACGGGCCCAGCCGCTCCGTGGTATGTGGGATCTTCCCGGACCGGGGCACGAACCCTTGCAGGCAGACTCTCAACCACTGCACCACCAGGGAAGCCCCATAACATTTTCTATAATGGCTTAACCAATTTACATTCCCACCAACAGTGTACAAAGTTTCCTTTTTTCCCAACATCCTTGCCAACACTTTTCTTTTTGATAATAGTCATGAGGTAATATTTCATTGTGGTTTTGATTTGCATTTCCCTGATGATTAATGATAGTGAATACCTTTCATATACTTGTTAGCTATTTGTATATCTTCTTTGGAAAAATGTCCATTCAGGTCCTTTGCTCCTCTCCTCCTTTTTGGTCACAGACACAAAGGAAAAAACTAATTTCTGGAAACTCTGGGAAATTTTTTGTCTCCTTCATGGGCTTATGTATTAAGATGTAATTGGTCCTATGACACTCAGTAAGAAGAGAGAGGAATCTTACTTGAACTTAAGGTTTAAAAAAATAAAACTTGCGATTAACTCATAAGAAATCCTACACTTAAAATCCCGTTTGACTGCTTTATAAACAGTTATTTTAATATTTCATATATTTAGAATTATAGTGGTAAAAAGGCATTCCACGTACATTTCTCTGAGAACTCAAAGAAAGAATGAGCTTAGCATGCTGGAGAGGCCCATTTTAAAATTGGGTTGGTTGGTTTTTTTGCTATTGAGTTATATGAGTTCCTTATTTATTTTGGGTTTTAACCCCTTTTCTGATATATGTTTGCAAATATTTTCTCCCATTCCTTAGGTTGCATTCTCATTTTGTTGATGATTTCTTTTGCTGTGTGAAGATTTTTAGTTTGATGTAGTCCCTCTTGTTTATTTTTGCTTTTGTTGCCTGAGCTTTTGGTGTCATATCCAAAAAATCACTGCAAATGCCAAGGAGCTTTTCTCCTATATTTCCTTCTAGGAGTTTTATGGTTCAGGTCCTGCATGTAAGTACTTAATTCATTCTGAGCTGATATTTGTGTATGATGCACTATAGTGGTCCAATTTCATTCTTTTCTATGTGGATATCCAATTCTCCCAACAACATTTATTGAGAAGACTATCCTTTGTGTATTCTTGGCACCCTTGTCAAAAATTCATTGACTGTACATGATGGGATTCATTTCTGGTTTCCTCAATTCTGTTCCATTATCTATGTGTTTATTTTTATGCCAGTACCACACTGCCTTGATTACTGTAGCTTTGTAATATAATTTGAAACCAGGAAGTATGTTGCCTCCAACTCTCCTCTTCTGCAAGATTGCTTTGGCTATTCAGAGCCTTTTGTGGTTTCATACAAATTTTAAGATTGTTTTTTCTATTTGTGAAAAATGCTATTGGAATTGTATGGTTTTCATTGTACAGATCTTTCACCTCCTTGGTTAAATTTATTCCTAAGTATTTTATTCATTTTGATGCTACTGAAGATAGGATTGTTTTCTTGATTTCCTTTTTGTACAGATCACTGTGTAGAGAAATGCAACTGATCTTTATATGCTGATTTTTGTATCCTGCAACTTTACTGAATTCATTTATTTGTTCTAACAGTTTATTCATGAGTGTTTAGGGTTTTCTACATATATGATCATGTCACCTGCAGAGATAATTTAACTTCTTCCTTTCATATCAGGATGTTTTTTCCTTTCTCTTCTTTTCTTTTCTTTGTCTGACTGCTCTCGCTAGTACTTCCAGTACTATGTTGAATAGAACTTGTGAGAATGGGCATCCTTGCTTTATACTGAATCTTAGAGAAAAACCTTACAGTTTTTCCCCATTGATAATGATGTTAGCTGTGGGATTTTCATAAATGACCTTTATTGTGTTGAGAAAGTATCTTTTTATACCTATTTTGTTGAGAGTTTTTATCATAAATGGATGCCAAACTTTGTTAAATGCTTTTTCTGCATCTACTGTGATGATGTGGTTTTTCTTTTTTTTTTTTTTTTCCGGTACGTGGGTCTGTTGTGCCCTCTCCCGTTGTGGAGCACAGGCTCTGGACGCACAGGCTCAGCAGCCATGGCTCATGGGCCCAGCCGCTCCGCGGCATGTGGGATCTTCTCAGACCGGGGCACGAACCTGCGTCCCCTGCATCGGCAGGCGGACTCTCAACCACTGCGCCACCAGGGAAGCCTGATGATGTGGTTTTTATCTTTCATTATATTAACGTGGTGTATCACATTGACTGATTTTCATATGTTAAACTAACAGGTTTGTAATTTTTGATTGGATGTTAGATATGTGAATTTTACCTGTTGGGTACTGGATTTTTTTTTTTTTTTTTTTTGTATTATTGAGCTTTGATCTCGGATGCAGTTATTTGGAAACAAGTTGATTCTTTCAGTTCTTGCTTTTAAGGTTTGTTAGGCAGGACTGAAGCAGTGCTCAATCTAGGGCTAATTATTCCCCACTACTGGGGAAACACTCTTCTGTGTACTCTACCTAGTAACCAATGAATATTTAGGATTTTTAGCCTTATTATTGGGAACAGGCACTTTTCCTAGCCTTGTGTGAGTACTGGGTACCTCTAATCCTGTCAGGTAATTCTTACCCTAACCTCAAGTATTTTCCTACTATATATGTGCTGATTATTACTCAGCTGAATACTTGAACTGAAGATCTCTGAAATCCTCTCTCTTTGCAGCTCTCTCTTTTCCAGTACTCCATTCAGTGAACTATAGCCACATTGATGTTTCTGGACTCTCAGCTTCATCTTCTCAATTCAGGGAATCAACCAAGCTCAGCCTGGGCCATCCCCCCAAACCCCTGTGCCACAGCCTGGAAACTCCTTCAAGGCAATAATCTGTGGCAATCATTGGCTCATCTCAACTGTTTCCCATCTCTCGGGGATCATGATCCTTTGTTTCCTGTTGTCCAATGTCTTGAAAACCATTGCTTAATGTATAATGTCCATTTTAAAATTTTTCAAGTAGTAGGTAAATCCAGGCCCTATTACTCCATCTTGGTCAGAAGCAGAAGTCTCACAATACTTTTAAAACATGAACTGACCTACAAGCTTCCCAAAGATTTGCCTATACTTGTAGATAAAAATCCTCCTCCTCCTCCCTGTCGACCAGCCCATTTCAGATTACTTCTGGAGAGATCAGTCCCTTACGGTAATCTGTGTAACACATTATAGCTAACGTCGTAATTTCACATATTGAGATAACATGGTTTTCTTTGGGGTAAAAAGGTGACTTGTGTCATATAGTTAGGAAGAAATTCATCTTCACATGAAAAACCCACAGAAAAAACTTTGGGGTCAACCAATTTTGGGATAGATCCAAATCCCAGGTAACGACCACCATCTAATCTAGGGCTTTAAAATAAGCACTTCATTTTGAATTTACTCACTGTGGTGGACACTGGTACTGCTCGTCTCTACCAGGCTGATATCATACTGGATCGAACTGGCCCTCTGAAGGTGGCCCTTCCTGACAGTAAAGAGGAAAGAAACACACAAATGGAAAATGGGTGAGTGGAAAACCGGAAGAAAGTTTAAAGTTGAACATGTGGAGGTACATTCTCTTTTTCACAACTCTCTGAAACTGCCAGAGCTTCCCTAAAACCATGCCCCATTATTTAACAAATCCACCAGGGCAGGTAGGTCATCTGTGGGGACCTCTGATGTTGATGATGCCACTTAGTCTTCCTCCTTTAAGACACAGCAGAACTGTTGTATTTTAGTGTAATGTTTTTGTGCTCTTCTTCAAGTGGCTAGCTTTAATTATTAGTTGGGACCCTTATGTGACATGGGGTGGCTTTAGTCAACTATTGAAAAACTCATTTGCACTTTTATAAGGTTTCAGTTCATCAATCTTTTTGGTCATCGAGTCAATTAATATAGGTTCTAATTGTATTCAGGTGTCATGACAGAGTTTTAAAAAACTACTTTTGGGGCTTCCCTGTGGTGCAGTGGTTGAGAGTCTGCCTGCTGATGCAGGGGACACGGGTTCGTGCCCCAGTCTGGGGAGATGCCACGTGCCGTGGAGCGGCTGGGCCCATGAGCCGTGGCTGCTGAGCCTGCGTGTCCGGAGCCTGTGCTCCGCAATGGGAGAGGCCACAACAGTGAGAGGCCTGCATACGGCAAAAAACAAAACAAAAACAAAAACAACTACTTTTAATATTAAATGAGATTTTGGAATGTACACTTGCTTTCAGTTTTTTTCAATAAGTCAGTGCCTAAAATATTACCTTACATTAATAAAAATTAATTCAAAACCACTTTTACCATAGCAAAATGAAAGTGTTTTGTAAAAATATACTGATTCCTCCTCATGAAACACAATTGATTCTAGCCTGGAGTTCAGCATTAGTGGGTTATCATTTTGGACCTCATTCAAATATGGCATTAATTACTTATTAAATTTCAAAATTCAAAAGCTTAAAGGAATTTCAGAAGTGAAACTGCTTGGTAGCAGCACATATAGTTTTTTAACTTTACAAGACATTTGCAAACTGAATCAAAAGTGTTCAAACTAAAATCTCACATTTTATATTGTTTGGGTTTTTAAAAAAACTTTTGCCAATCTTATGGGTGAGATAATTGCAGGCTAAATTTGCAGTTTCCTGATTAAGAAGATTGAGCATTTTTCATGTTTATTTTATGGAATTTTCTTCATCTTTTAGAAGTTTTTTTATTTTTCCCATTTGTCTACAGGTTTACTATTTTCTTGATTTATAGGAGTTCATGATGCATCTATTTTCACATGTTGCAAACATCTTCTCCCACTTTGTAGACAGACTTTTTTTCAATAGTGTCTTTTGATAACTAGAAGTTTAGTCAAATTTATCTGCCATTTGTTTTACAATTTTTACTTCTTGAATCTTGTTACAGAAATCTATCCCTACCCCCAAGGGCACAAAGACATTCTTTAAATGTTCTTCTGAGAGTTTTCATTTTGCATTTCACACTTAGGTCTTTAATCTACCTGTACTGATTTTGAGGTATGCTTTGAGGCAAAGATCCAACTTTACTTTCTTCCATGTGGATAAACAGTAATGCCAAGAGTATTTATTGGAAAGTCCATTATTTCCCCACTGCACTGTAAACCATTTCTGTTGTACAGTCGACCTGCTGTATCAGAGGGTTCTGCATTCGTGGATTCAAACAATCTCAAATCGACAATATTTGAAAAAGAAAAAAAAGAATACAGAAAGCTCCAAAGAGCAAAACTTGAATTTGCCTAATGCTGACAACTATTTACATACTATTTATATCATATTTACAACTATTTACCTACCATTTACATTGTATTAGGTGTTCAGAGATGATTTAAAGTATATGGGAGGATATGTGTAGGTTATTTGATCTTTTAAATGTCTGTGGCACCTGAGTTATATCTTTATTCATTCCTAATATTATTCACTTGTGCCTTCCCCCCGTTTCTTTGAAAGAGATTTGTCAATATTATTAATCTTTTTATAGAACCAAATTTTGTCTTTGTTGTTCCTCTCTATTATACCTATTGTACATTTATTTTCTTAAACCCCTACTCTTTATTTTTACTTCCTTCTAGTTTCCTGGCATTTATTTTGCTATTCTTTTTCTAACTTAGTGAGATGAATGCTTAGCTTATTTATTTCCAGGCTTTCTTCTTTTCTCATATAAGCATTTAGGGCTATAAGTTTTCCTCTGCTGGTTTATTTGCATCTCTCAGATTTGTTATATAGTATTTTCATTATAGTTCCAGTCAAAATATTTCCCAATTTCCATTGTGAGCTCTTTGATCCATGAATTATACAGACATGTATTTCTTAATTTCCAAATGTGAAGGTCTTTGATAGTTATTCTTGTCCCTGACTTTCCTCTTAATCACACTAAAGACTGAGCATGTGGTATAACATCAAACCTTTGAAATGTGTTGAAAACTGTTTTACTGCCCAGCACAGAATAATGTTCATAAATATTCTGTATGAGTTTGTAAAGAATTTTGTACTGTGTTCTAGAATAAGTCTAGATCAAATGTGTTAATTACATTGCTAAAATCTTATAGTCTTACTGATTTTTATCTCCTTTCTTATAAATTTCTGAGACTCACACATTAAAATTTAACTGTGATGGTGGTTTTGCTTATTTCTCCTTTGTATTTCAAATTTTGATTTATACTTTTTAAGATTTTGCTTATAAGAGCACATACATTTTTAAATTGTGAAATCCTCCTAGTGAACTAAATCTTTTACCATAACATTTATTTTGTCTGATAGTTATATGACCTTTTTACTCCTAATCTTTTTGTATCCTTATCTGGAAGGACTTAGCATCTAGAATTTAGATTTTAAAATATAGGTGTATTATGACAATCTTTGTTTTTTACCTGGAATCTTTAGTACAATTATATTTAAAATAATACTGATATATTTAGATTTAAATCTACCATGTTATATCATACTTTCTATTTATCCTTTTTTCTCTATTTTTCTTTATGTTTAATCAATTGATTATTTTTTATTCCTTTTTGTCCTTCCTCTAATTTGTAAATTATGTGTTTTGATTTTTTTATTCAATTGTCACCCTAGACATGTTCATTCCTAATACATCAAGGTCTCACATTAACCTATATATTATCCTCCTCCCATTTAAAAACCTTTAGTATATGTTAATTACAATCCTTTCAACTTATTTGCTATCGCCATCATGTGTTTCTTTTTTAAAATAAATTTATTTATTTACTTTTGGCTGCATTGGGTCTTTGCTGCTGCATGTGGGCTTTCTCTACTTGCAGTGAGTGGGGGCTACTCTTTGTTGCGGTGCATGGGCTTCTTTCTCATTGTGGTGGCTTCTCTTGTTGCAGAGCATGGGCTCTATGGAGCACGGGCTTCAGTAGTTGTAGCACATGAGCTCAGTAGTTGTGGCTAGTGGGCTATAGAGAGCGGGCTCAGTAGTTGTGGCGCATGGGCTTAGTTGCTCCACGGCATGTGAGATATTCCCAGACCAGGGCTTGAACCAGTGTCCCCTGCATTGGCAGGGGGATTCTTAATCACTGCGCCACCAGAGAAGTCCTGCCATCATGTGTTTTAATTCCTCTTTTCAAAGACATAGTATAGTACTATTATTAAAATTTATACAATATTTGTTTTGATTCATTCACATAATGACTTTCTCTGATCTTTCTTCTTTCTTGCATCTCAATATATTTCCTTCTGCTTGAAAATATGAGAGGACAAACTCTTACAAGTTTTGCTTATCTAAAAGTATCTTTGGGACTTCCCTTGTGGTCCAATGGTTGAGAATATGCCTTCCAATGCAGGGGATGTGGGTTCAATCCCTGGTCCAGGAAGACCCCACATGCCGTGGAGCAACTAAGCCCGTGCACCACAACTACTGAGCCTGCGCTCTAGAGCCCGCGAGCCACAACTACTGAGCCCGCGTGCCACAACTACTGAAGCCCATGTGCCCTAGAGCCTGTGTGCTGCAACTACTGAGCCCATGCACCGCAAGTGCTGAAGCCCACACATTCTAGGGCCCCCGTGCCGCAACTACTGAAGCCCGTGCGTCTAGAGCCCGTGCTCGGCAATGAGAGAAGCCACCTCAATGAGAAACCCATGCACCACAACAAAGAGTAGCCCCCACTCACCACAACTAGAGAAAGCCCACGGGCAGCAACAAAGACCCAATGTGGCCAAAAATAAATAAAATTAAAAAATAAATAAATAAAAGTATCTTCATTTTACCCTCATTCCTGAAAGATGTTTTCAGTGATACAGAAATTTGGGGTTGATGGTTAATTTCAGTGGATACTGAAAATATCATTGCTTGCTCTGTCTTCTGGTTTTGCTTCTTTCCTACTGAGCAGCCAGCTTTCAGTAAAATTGCTGCATTTTTTAAGATAATCTGTCATTCTTTTGTTACATTTTTGCAATTTTCTCTTTGAGCATCCTACAGTTTTACTGGGCTGTGCCCATATGTAAACTTATTTTTATCCTGCTTGAAATTTGTTGGACTTCTAGAATCTGTGGTTGACTTTCATCAGTTCTGCAAAGGTCTCAGCCATTACCTTTTCAAATATTGCCTTTGCCCCTTTCTCTCTTCTATCATACATTTCTAGGTACTTTCTCTCCGGTCTCCCTTTTTCTTGACTTCTCTTGACCTCTCTATAACATTTTCCATTTCTTTTCCTCTCAGAATTACCTTCTGGGTAATTTCTTATCTATATCTTTCACTTCATTAAATCTTTTATTGTGTCTAATTTGCTATTAAAAACATATTCTTGGTTAAAAAATTTTGTTGAACTATGACATGTATTGGCTTTTAAAAAATTAAAATTATTGGGCTTCCCTGGTGGCGCAGTGCTTGAGAGTCCGCCTGCCGATGCAGGAGACGCGGGTTCGTGCCCCGTTTCGGGAGGATCCCACATGCCGCGGAGCGGCTGGGCCCGTGGGCCGTGGCCGCTGAGCCTGCGCGTCCGGAGCCTGTGCTCCGCAAATGGGAGAGGCCACAACAGTGAGAGGCCCACATAACGCAAGAAAAAAAAATAAAATAAAATAAAAAATAAATAAATAAATAAATAAATAAAAAATTAAAATTATTATATTTCATGCATTACAGTTCTGTTTTGGTCTTTGTCAAATCTGCTTATTTACAAGCCTCTCATTTATTTCTTGGTATATATTAAATATACCAAGTATTTTATATTACGTATCTGAGTCTTCCAAAAAATAAAGATTTTGAATATCTGATTTTACTATCAGTTGTTTCTGTGGGTTCTAACTCATGGTGCTTCTTTTCTTATATGTTTGGTAATCGTGTTATACTGTGAGATACTTTTTAAGGTAAAGGATGAAAGTGGGTTCTTCAAGAATTAATTTGCATTTGTTTCTGTCAACCACCTGGGGCACTGCCAGCCTGGATTATCCAACATTCCTAGCTTTTTTTCCCTAGACATTCAGACTGCATCAGGATGCAAACCAGATAATATTTGTGATTGGAGGTTCCTTTTGTCCTTTCTTGTTCTTATATACAGTTGACCCTTGAACAATGCAGCATTTAGGGGTGCTGACCACCACACAGTTGAAAATCCACATATACCCTTTACAGTTGGCCCTCCATATCCATGATTGCACATCCAGGGATTCAACCAACCATGGATTATGTAGTACTGTAGTATTTATTGAAAAAAATTTGCATAGATGTGAACCCATGCAGTTCAAACCTGTGTTGTTCAAGGGTCAACTGTACTTTCATTTTTCTTTTATCTGTACTTTCTACCAAAAAGGTATTGTTTAGCCTGTTCATACTAGCAATATTGCTAAATTCTGGCTCAAGCCTGCAGTTACTGTGTTCTAGAAGGTCTCCTCTGAAACTCTGTGTCATTAAGCACCTGTGGGGTACAACATACCATGGCACAAACTCAATGGCTTTGCACAGGAGTTTCATTTTTAGACAATTACAGCAATGTTAAAGCTCTATGGAATAAAAAAAAAATCCCTCTTAACAATTCCCAGTGGAATGAATATTAGATTTCCTAATAAATCCTTTGGTCATTATGTAGGACATGTATTTCTAGCTCTCTACCTTATAGGCATATGGTAGAATTGCATTTCCTGGTATCCCTTGTAATTAAGTAGGACCATGCAGCTCATTCTGGCCAGACAGATCATTTCAACTCAAATATGAAACCCTCTGGCAGAGCAACCCACAGCATTCAGGATGGTGGCTGTTCCATCAGTTTGAGATTTTAAGTGACTATGATTATAAAAGCCGGTCTGCCAAATGATAATAATTATACGCTATGAATGGGAAATAGTCTTATTTTTTTAAGCCACTAAACTGTTAGGGTTGATAATTACCTAGCCTATCCTGATTGATATTACAAAAGTATTTATTATCCAATCAATAACACATGAAATGCTATATTTCCAACCTGGCACTAGAGTGATTAATGAGGGAATTAGTCAGTTGGTCTTCTCCTTAGCATATTAGACCAACAAAATATTTAGAGGGATAGAATAAAATAATAAATCATTATTCATTTTTTTTCCAAACATGATTTAAAGTCAAGAGTACACCTAATTCCAAACATGGGTGTTCTGGTTATCTATAACAGTATAACAAATCAACCTGAATTTAGTGGATTAAAACAATTTATCTCTCATGGTTTTCTGTGGGTTGACAGCTGGGAAGTTTTTGCTTGGGATCTCTGTGGTTGCAGTCAACTGGCAGCTAAATCTGGATCAACTAAAGGTTCAACTGAGCTGGATGTCTGAGGTGGCTTATTCAAATGGTGGTAGTTGACACTGGCTGTCAGCTGGGAGATCAGCTGAGGCTGGTTCTCTGTTCTCACAACATGGTAGCTGATTATGTGAAAGAGCAGAGGAAGTATGAGTGACAGGAGATGGAAGCTGCCAGGCCATTTAAAGGCTATGCCCTTAACTAGAACAGCACCATTTCCACAATATTCTGTGGTCAAAGCAGTCTGAATGCCTGCCCAGATTCAATGATTTAGAGAAATGAACTCTTCCTCTTGATGTAGGAGTGGCAAGGTCACACTGCAGAAGAACATGTGGGAATGAGAGATATTGTTGTGGCTATCTTTGGGAAATATAATCTGACACAATGAGCTTGTATTTAAATTTTTATATCTGTAGTAAGATGCTAAAATTATGAGAGATAAAACATATTAGATTGCCTAAATAATTATTTTAGAATAAAATATGTAATACTAATACCACATATTTTAAAAGCACAATCTCCCATTTTTGTTTACTCCATGGTGTAAAGTAATTCAGAAATGAGGATTTTATGAAATATAATTTTATATATGTTACTTTTCTTAGAATATAAATTTCTCAAGCCCACTGTATCTCTTTTATGACTACCCTCAGCTCCATTTTCCATTTGCACAAATATCTATGATAACATACAGTGTGCATTTAATAAAAATTAATAATGAGTTATGATACCAGATAACTCCTAAATTTAATAAATTCTATATTCACTTATTTTTACAAAAGTTCAGAAAAAGCTGAAGACCAAAACTAATGAATGAAAGTAATCTTCAGTGTAAAGTGTTGTTTCATGTGAATAAATTTTCCTTTGGTCTTATGAGTTACTAGTCTTCTCAAATTAATTGCCTGCCTATTCATCTGTCTCTCCAAATTGATTTAAATCTCTATGAAGTTAGGGAACATGTCTATTTTCTTCACTATTATATTCTTTATGCTTATCAGCATAAAGTGTCTAGCACATAGTAGGCACTAAATAAAGAGCTGATCCTAGATATTAACTATGTCTTAAATTTATATTTACAGCGTGTTGCATAAATTGTTTCTTTTCTTTCACAAAATCTATTTTAAATAGACCTAGTCCAAATATTTAGGTGTTTTTGGCATGATGACTTTAGTGAATGTGGATCTACCTTACTAGTTTAGAAAAGTCAAGGTAAATAATGATGATGACAGTAACAAAGAATAGAGACTGCTTAAGATCCTTTCAAAAATGACTTATTAATTTATAACAAAAATAAATAAATAATAAAATTTAATAACAGTAACTCTATTAGAGGAATAACTCTAAACAGAAAAACAATCTGGAAAAATAATCTAGAGCTAAAGGGCATATTGATTATTTAGTAGGATAACTACTTTATGCATTACTTTTTCTTTTCAAAAGCATGTTTTTATTTTGGTTACCTGCAAAGGAAGTAGAGGGCTCCAATGATAAGAGTTCCTAGAAGAACAGCCAATGCCACGAAAGCTGCAAACAGGTCACTTTTAGTTTGGATGCTGGAGCTTGGGAGAAAAACCTCTTCACAACGAGCTCCTGTATAATTTTCAATGCATCTACAGAATAAAATTTTAGATAAAGAATTGCATTCTCTGTTCCATTAACGAGTATAGAAAGCATAAGGTTTCCAGCTGGTATGAAAAAAAAAAGACTAATTTTCAGATTGTGAATATAGAATAAGCATGCTTTCCTATAATGCTCACAGAGCTAGTTATAATAAAACAAATTAGCATGTGCAGTCTAATCTTTGCTATCTTCCTTTTCCAGTTTTCAAATTGTTTAGAAATTCCAGAGAACTTATAGAATATTCAGTCCTTTTATCTTTTAGATTTTCAATATGTAATTATCCACACTTAAGTTTATCTGAAATTTATTTTGTTATTTCTGGTATAGATGTGGTTCTAAGTATATTTTTCCTTGACACTGCTAACTAGTTATTCCAACCCCATTTATTAAATAATCATTCCCTTTCCTACTGTTTAACAGTGCCTCCTTTAATGTATGTCAAATTTGTATAAGTAACAGCATTTCTTTATTCTTCAATGATCTATACATCTTATCTTGGGCTTCTACCATATTGCTTCAATACTGTTGCTTTATAATATGCTTTAGTATCTGGTAGTTCTACTCCTTACCTTATTACTTTCCTTTTCTAGAGATTTTGTGATATTTTCATTTGCCAGCCAAATATTTTAAAGCCAATTACTTTCAGCTCTTTAAAACTATGTGACCATAGAGAGAACCATAATCTTTGGTAATATCAGTCAGTTCCTTTTTCCCTGTTAATATGTTCAGAGATTATAAAACTAGAGATTGATATGAACTAATGAGTTTGGCACCAGATCAATTTCATTATTTCATAGTTGCAGTTAAAATAAAGAATAGTATTTTAATATACACTAATGTTTGTTTATAAAGCAACCCATGAAGTTATGAAGTAAATCAGGGGTCCCCAACCTCCGGGCCACGGACCAGTACCGGTCTGTGGCGGGCCAGCAAGCCAAGCTTCATTTGCTGCTCGCCATCGCTCACATTACCACCTGAACCATCCCCCTTCCCCACCGGCTCCGTGGTAAAACTGTCTTCCACGAAACTGGTCCCTGGTGCCAAAAAGGTTGGCGACCGCTGGAGTAAACTACACTTAGCAATAATTTTGCGTAAAAAAAAATGTGTGTGTATATATATGTGTGTATATATATTCTTTAAGCTAGTATTACCCCAAATAGAAATATCTGTTCTACTAAATTAATTCTCCTCCTCACCTCTTTCCAGTTTAGGAAGTATTTACAAATGTTATCTTCTTTTCTCCCACCCTAGTCTAACAAGGATGCAGTCCTAGAAAGTTACATGCTGAACTGATTACTAACAAAGCTTGGCAACTAATGCAATAGGCTAATAAAGCAGTATACAAATAAATAACAGAAAAGAATATCAACTTATAGCACAAGGGATCGATTTTACTTAAATGAGCATATGAAAGATGTTTTATGAACCTCAAGCCCTACCCATGGTGAGGCAGTGGTGTTATTAGTTACGGCCTCCACTGAGTGGGGAGGGGTGTCAGTTTGAGCAAAGAAGCAGTTTTGATTCTCTCAAACTACTGTAAAGATGGAGTTGAGGAAACATAGAAAGGAAAAGAAAGGACAGAATATGAGTGGCAAACTGAAATGCAAGTAAAATACTTTACAAAACACAATTACCTAACGTCTAAATGAAAAATACTTATTTTTTCCAAAGATCAAGTCAGTTAAATAAGTATGAGGAGAAAAAAGATTAAATGAAAACAATTTGTTTCTTTCTCCTCTAGCCCCACATCCCACTTCCAAAAATGGGAATAAATAACACACAGAGACACACACACACAGACACACACAGGCCTAGAAAGTTAATATAGAGACTACCAAAAAAATCAATACATATGTCATCACAAAATAACCAAAGAAGGAAAGGGGCATTCCACACAGTAAAAAAAAAAAAAAAAAAAAAAGTTCTAAATTTTTCAAAACCAGAATTCAATAAGTAGTAATTATTTATGACTTCCAAAGGTTTTTAAAGAAAAGATTTAGCCACTGGAAAAGTTACTGTCATCGTTTTAAAATAACTCTCAGCTTTTGAAATGATATTAAAATGGGGTTCAGTTTCCATTTGAATATAGCTAGAACTCTAAAGAAATAAATTCTGAATTGAAACAGTATAATTCTTTATAAGGAAGATTTCTTTTTTAAAATGCTATAAACTCATTACTCAAGGCTGTTCAAGTTTAGGTAAGATTGAACTTCAAGGAAGAAGATGACAAACTAGCTGATGTAACTAACCCTATGTGTTTACTTTGAGCTGGAAGGAGTCAAGAGAATGGTATAAGTATAAGCTGAGTGGTCAGATCAGGCTGTAAGCAAACAAACAAAAAAGGCATATAAAGGAAAACAATCAACACTACAGTGTTGTTCTGTTGTCTTACAGCAGGGCCAAGCAAACACATGCTCTTGTGGTAAAGTCAAAAGCTGATGGTATCTTTAAATAAAGCAAAGTGAAGAATAAACTCATCTTGTTATTATTTAACTAGTCAAATCAGAATTTAGAGAAAAGCAAAGAAATTTAAATATTATGTTGTTATCTAAGAGGTAGAAATGGCTAACCTAAAAATTAATTTAAAAATTTCAGATATTTATCATACAAAAAAGTAAACACAGCCTACCAATGAGTATGTACAAGGATTCCACTTTTTTTTTTTTTTTGCAGTACGCGGGCCTCTCACTGTTGTGGCCTCTCCCATTGTGGAGCACAGGCTCTGGACGCGCGGCTCAGCGGCCATGGCTCATGGGCCCAGCCGCTCCGCGGCATGTGGGATCTTCCCGGACCGGGACACGAACCCATGTCCCCTGCATGGGCAGGCGGACTCTCAACCACTGCGCCAACAGGGAAGCCCAAGGATTCCACTTTTAAAGCTCAAGCTCATTTATGAAAATGTTATGACCCAGTTATGTCACAAATATCAAACTTTAGGCAAAGTCAGCTCCTTTAAGGATAAATAAGCGTGAATTAAGAAGATTTAGACAGATAACTAAATGGTAGTACTAGATGAAGCAAAACAGAAAGGTGAGGCATTTGTACCACCATTTCATGCAGAACTAAGTAGTCTTCAGTCTTTATGTAACTTTCTTGCTAAATTATTTCCAGACATCACTTCTGCACAGACTGCCAAGTAGCAAACAGTTGTTCCACCTAATGAGGTGAATACCAAGCACTAGGTTCACAAACATTCTCCTGGAACTGAAAGATGAATGCTGGAACAGGTACAAATGCTCAACTAGGTGAGAAATTCCAAAACTCAGAATCCAAGTCATATGTGCTGGTTTTCTGGCTGAATACCACCAACAATCTTGTCCTTAAACCCAGAAGCTATGTTTAGTACACTGGACATGAAATAATCTCATTAGATTCTACAGCATTCCAGGTAAGTTGTAAGAACCAAGTTTTTAATCATGTAAACAAACAGTGCCATTTAGCTTCAAGAAAGAGTATTGGACTATGAGCTAGAAAAAAATGATTTCTTGATCCCACTCTTATGATTGTTGGCTGTGTGACCTTGGGCAAGCCACTCAAACTCTCTAAGACACTGTAAAAATCAAAATAACACCTGCTTTTGCTATTTCATAGGGCTATTGTCAGAATCAAATAATGTCTAAAAGTGCTATGAACATTGAAACACACTATGCAAGTGAAACTGAAATTAAAGTAGTTAATAAAATGCTCAAGAAAAATTACAGCCAGAAAAAGTTAAGAGCATGGAGATCAATAAATATGTTATTATTATTAAATATTTTTCAGAAACAATAAACAACTTTATAAGAGTCCACTAACCAAATAGTGATTCAACGTCAATGCCACTTCACTTGGGCTAATCTATCCTGGAAAGAAAAAGAATAATATTGGCATATGCCAAAATTGACTTCCAAGTTTGATTCCTACTCTGTAGTAATCAAAGTTCAATCTGAAACCCATGAAAAATGGTAACAAAACCAAAATAAAATAAAACTATTAGATTGTTCAAGAAACACAAATTAACCACATGGGCTTAAATCCCTTTAGCATTCCAGGGCTAGATAACAATACACAAACATGCCAACATCCTATGAAACTCCTACTAGATTTTTATAAGCCAAGAATTCAGGGAAGACTGACTCTTTTATCAGCTAGTGCCATAAATGTAACTTCACTAAGCATTTATTAGATTCTTAATAGTATCTAGAGATACTTAGCTAATATTCGATCTTGCAAAAGTTTTAATATTTATATGATATTAGCACCAATTAAAACCAATAACTAGTATGCTTCAAGTGTGTAAGTATAATCTAAGTCTAGTAAAAAAGCAAAATCTATTAGGTTCTTCCAAGATTGACTATGAACAAGATAATTCATGTGCTGAAATGGACTACAGACTATATCTGTATATAAATGGATAAAACATCCTGCATAGAGAATAATTCATATTTGTCATTATGTACGGTATTGTTATAATTTTATTGTGAAGGGTTATAATTTTTTTGCTTAAGTAAATCACTGTGAAAATGTGAAATATTTTACTTACTGAAACTAGCTAAAGCACAGTGAATGAAGGAAGCATGTAAACAAATGATGAGCAGCAGTAGTTTAAAACACAACCTTCATTACTGAATCCATGCATTGGCTCTTCTTTTCCAATTAAGACTTTTTGGGAGAGACACCCATAGAATGCTGCCGGGTTCACCAGAGTACTTGGGGAACATTTTGTGATTAAAAAATGTTTCTTAAATGTTGTCTTCCTCCATGTGAGAAAAATAATTATCTCAATTCTCACCCTATTTTGCTTTCCTCAAGAAAAAAAAAAAAATCAGGGAGGAAATCCAAAACTGCTCTTGAAAGATAAGGTATATATGTTTTAAAAAAATGATCAGGGAGGAAAAGTAAAACTACAAGCAGAAAATACATATATATATTTTGTATTCTATTTTGTTATGATCCTTGGTGTAAAAAATACACATATATTTGTATATACAAAGATTTATTTATACATAAA